GCCGGCCGAACCGGGATCATATATGTCTGTCTGCGTCTATGTCTAACTAGGTTTATTCAGACGACAGAAAGAGAAACAGGGCCCGCTGAAAGACCTCATATTAAAGCAGTGCCCTTCATGTGGGAGTTTCCGAAAAATAGGAGTTCCTTATTTGGGGGTCCTTATAATAAGGATCTTATTATCTAGGGTACTATATTAGGGTCCCCAATTTTCGGAAACCCCCATGTGCTGCCCTGGGGCGAAGGGCTGCCAGCACCGGGGGGCCCAGGAGGCGGCGCTCGGCGCGCCGCCTGGAGCGGTGCTTTTCTTAGGTTCGACGGGATCGGAGTCTAATACTGTGGGGGACTGTTGGGTCTAGGGTTTTGTAGGGTTTGGGTTTAGGAAGTTTAGGGTTTATGTTCTGGTGCTTCGGGCTATAGGGAAATCCCTTATCAGATGGCTTGGATCCCTACCTCGTAAACCCTAAAACCTAGACCCCTAAACTCCTGAACTTCTCAACCCCGAAACCCCAACCCCCCCCCACACTCCTAATCTCCTAACCCCCCAAGCCCTACCATTGCCCGTGTCTAGTTCATGTCAGCTCGACCGGCGCCTCCTCTCGCTGCGAATGGATGGCTGGTATGAGGCTCTCCTGGGTAATCCGAGCGTTCGGATCCTGTTTTAGAATACCTTTGTGTGTACGCTCCTACTACAGTCCCGAACTTTGATTCTATACCTGTAACTCCCTATGACCTACAGTTTAGCGGCCAGTACCCCTTAAGTAGTAGCTGGAAATCATAAAACTGTAGGTAAGTAGAGTCCCAGGTACCCTAAATCCACAAAACCCCAAAACCCTACACTAAACCCTACAAAACAGCAGGGTTTCGGTAGTTTAGGGCAGCAGGGGGCAGGATTTGGGAGCGTAGGGGCCTTCATAATTAGAACAGGGTTTGGGGTATATTCTGCTATAGTTATAAAAAGGAGCCCCCAAAAAATATGGATGATGATATAAATCCCGCATTACCCATGATAACATACGATAGTTCCCATAGTTTGGGTCCTTAAGGTCATGTGGATTTACATCATCAACAGTAGTATAGGTATAACTATGAATTATTAAGGCCACGATATTAATAGCCCTGAGCCCTAAACCCTAAAGGGATTAGGAGATGAGGGACTATTAAGGCCCACGATATTAGACTAATAGACCTAAACCCTAAACCCTGAAGGGATCAGATGAAGGATTATTAAGGCAACGATCTTATCTTAATAGACCTAAACCCTAAACCCTGAAGGGATCAAGGGATCAGGAGATGAGGAAAGGGCTCAAGGCCAGAAGGAGGATGTCGGAAAATGTCGGACCTGCGCACCCTCGAGGGCTCAAGGCCTGGAAGCATCTTTGGCTGTGGGGGTTCGGGGTTTAGGGTTTAGGGGGTTTAGGGGTTTGGGGTTTAGGGTTTGGGGTTTGGGGTTTAGGGTTTAGCTTTTTTTTTTTTTAATGCAGTGGCCTTTGGGTTTAGGGTTTGGGGTTTAGGGTTTGGGGTTTAGAGTTTAGGGGGTTCGGTTAAGCATCCTGAAGCAAGGCATACACTCAGGTATTTTTTAGCCTCGGGCCATTGAGCCTCATGAAGAAACAGTTCGAACCAGACACTCTTAAGCTCAGTCAGGAGAAGGAAGAATTCCGGTGGCCCGCCTAATCACCTAGTCTATTTTTGGATGGGAGGCCATGCAGCAGCGCAGGATCTCTTCGAACATCACCTGGAGTTTTTGCCTGCCCGGTGCGGCAAAGTGAGCATTTCAGCATCCGGAACCCCCCTGCCCTAGAAACCCAGCTATAGACCTAAGTGAGGGGTCACTACACCTGCGTTTATGGGGTCTGAGCTCACACGCCTCCCGAAGGTGACGCAGAAGAGAAGGGACCGCAGCGACGATGCGTGGGCATTTTGATGCAGCTCCACCATGCGCGTCAGCTTCTCTTCGTTGCCTTGCATTCCCGCTTTTGCTCTGGTTACACCATGGGTATAATGTAGGGGCCTCGATAATTAGACTAGGGGTTTGGCAAACATGATAATTACAAAATAGTGCGTAGGTAGACTGTGAAGTACAAGGGGGGTACCACTATATACAAGTATTCCGACCCCTATAGTATACACTTGTACATACAGGCACATACTGGTAGATACAAGCACACAAACATGCATGTTCATACATGCGCGAGCCCATGGCGTTTCGTAATGTTCAGACAATCGGAGCACTCCGGAAGGTTTGGGTGTTGAGTGTTCAAAGCTCTTAGGGTTTAGACACTTGTGGAGGGTGGCCCTCGGGGTCCAGGGTGTTCAGCTTGAGGTTTGCAGTTGATGGGGGTTGGGGGAATGAGGTTCGATTGTCGCCTGAGACCCTACACCAATAAAACCCCGAAAGCCAAAGCCTAAACCCCAGCTAGAAACCCCATAGACCCCTGCCGAACGCCTAGGGCCTAGAAGCTGTCCTAGACCTTTAGTGCGCCAGGGACTGGCTGGCGATCGAGACCCTTTGCGTCTGCTGACCAAGACAACTTTCTACAAGCCCATTATAGAACCCTCGTAGAACGCTAAAGATCTTTACGGAACGGCATTGTGCTCTTAGAACTAGAATCCTCGGTAGCTTTGCAATAAAACGGGCTCCCTTTTTGGCATTGTATTTTTTTTGAAAGAAGCCTAAGACCACAAAAAGGGGAAAAGGGTTGATATAGGAGATTTAGATTCAGATGACGGTTTCCGATGACCACTCAGCTCCGTTGGCAGAGGATTTCGGAACCCAAACCGAGCATCTAGTAGAAAGCTTACTGTAATCAGGTCGGAACATGATTGGAAATTCAAGCTCTGCATGTTATTTGACATCATCGGAATGGGGTATTGGGGAGCTTATAGGCAAACCCTAGACCTCTTGATGCTTCTGCAGACCTCAAAGACACGAAACTGCTGGTCTCCAAGGAGTCGACAGACCAGACGACTTGAAACATGAACAAGAACACTTAACAGGAACTAACTGAAAGACACTGTGGACTAGTATGCACAGCTATTATTCATATAACCTATACTGTATAACCCCGACTGAGATACTTCTAGCTTCTTAGTATACTGAAGTAGGGTTTGCCTGAATCTAAAATACCTATCCTTGTCAAAGACTTTTACAAGGAAGCCATGAGAAGGGATCCTAAACTTGTGGGTTTTTCTGCTTCCAGGCTCGCGGGCTTTGGGTTTTAGGGACTTTAAGTTGTAATCTTTGGGAGTTCGTTGGTTCAGGTACAAGGCGAGAGGGGTTGTAGGACATCAGAACCTGGTCCAGCCCCTAAACCCTAACCTTAACCCCTGACCCCTGAACCATAAACTAAATACTCAGCCCTAACCCCAAAATCCTTTTTTTTGTTGCATGGACTCCTGGACTCGATAAGCTCAGCGTCCTGAAGTCTAGGTTAGGGCCCTTCCCTTGCAATAAATCCTTAGCAACTACGTCGGGGTCATCTTCGTGAACCCCAACCCTAAGGGTCCATGTACCCAAATAGTAGATACTTTGGCCTTAAAGTCGTCCCTATATAGGTACTTTGGGGCCAATGTATATACTATATGAGTACATGGACCCTTATGGCAAGAGAGTGCGAGGCATCCGGCGTCCCGACATCCTGCTGAGCTGCGGCAGAGTTGTCCCTGTTTCAGGTCGTAGTTGTTGGTCTTTCGCTGATTCCTTGGAAGCTGGGTTGCGCTGGGGTTACGGCGGTTTCGGGTTTAGGGGTTTAGGGTTTAGGGGTTACGGCTGAGGCTGCCTGCCGTAAGAACACACGGGAAACGTTTGGGTTAACAACACTTAGGCTTTGAGCTTTTGAGGCTGCTGGGCTGGAGGAAGATGCCGTGGTAGACTCCCACACCACTCGATTTTTTGCTGAGAGGGTATAAATAGGGTAACTAGACTCAAGAGCCTGAGTATCCACAGACTCCTCAGCCCCAAACACTGAAACTTGTTGCTATGATAGTGACAATATACTTACACAGTAAGAACCGACTGCTCCTAAGGAAAACCCAGCAGTGGCTCCGTGATTCTACTATGGCTACATATGAACACCAAATACAAGGAATCATGATGCAGCTCCCGTATAACCCCAGACCCTACACCACTGAACCCTAAACCCGTGAACCCTGAACCCTAAACCCTAAATCCTAAGCCCAAAGCCCCTCTAAACCCCTGGACCCGAAACCCCAAACTCCTAAACAACAATTAGGATAGGGATATCCCATGTAAACCCCCTTATAATGAAACCCAACGAGGTAGGGATGCCCCTAGAAAATGCTTATGCTCATGTCCTTTTTCGGTTCCTAAGTGGGGATTTCCGAAAATAGGGGACCCCAATATAGCACCCTAAATACCAGGATCCCTATTATAAGGACCCCAAAACCCTAAACCCTAAACCCTAAACCCCTTCTTTTCGGAAACTCTCAAGTAGTGGCACCGAGCATCAGCGACTTTGAGAGTAGCCCCGAGCCCCGGCGGTCGTCGGGATCCAAGGCGGCGGATCCCAGGGACTGCCAGAACGACTTCGGTTTTAGGGCTTAGAGGTTTAGGGTTTAGGGTTTAGGGGTTTGGGGTTTAGGGTTTAGGGTTTAGGGGTTTAGGGTTTAGGGCTTAGAGGTTTAGGGCCTTCGCCTTTGTTAGGGGTTTAAAGCCTTCGGTTTCAGGGCTTAGGGGTTTAGGGGCCTTCGGTTTCAGGGTCTAGGGGGCCAAGAGCCTAACCCCAAACCCTAACCCTAAAACCTTCCTTAGCACTTTAATAACGAGCCCTTAACGGTCGCCATTAGGGATCAGGGGAGGGTATAGACTTAGAGGATTCGGGCTTGTTGAGGGGTTCCTTTTCGGGCTCTATAAGGGCTTGCGAAGGTTTCTCTAAGGTTTCTCTAAGGGTTGTATTGAAGTTTTTGAAGGGGGAGGGGGGGGGGTTAAGGGCTCTATTACGGGCTCCGGCAGGATTCGATAAACGTTCCTTCAAGGGCACCCCTAAACCATTGTAGTGACTGTCAGTCGTAATGAGTGGCTTTTGAGGCCACGAAGACTGATATGACTCAGCAAAATGAAAGTTGTGTCGCACTAGTGTGCTTCGTTGGCGGAGGACTCGGAGTACGAAGAAGTGCATTATATGTGGCATGGCCTGCGTAGGGATTTCTGTTCGGCGATGGTTTCTGCTCTGTATAATGTGATGCAACACCGTGTAACCCTACATTCTAAGCCGTAAACCCAGACCCTATATTACGTCAGTCAAGCTGTAACAGTAGAGCCCAAACCTCCTACACCCTAAACTCGAAATCCTGTATTATGTCTTGGCCGTGCCTCTCGAGCTTTGGTCAAGTCCTCACGCAATCGCCGCACTTTCCTTCGGCGGGCTGTGGCACGTTCGGTCTTAGGTAGCATGGTAGGCGCTTCAGGGTTTAGGCTACCCTAAACCCTAAACCCTAAACCCTAAACCCTAAACCCTAAACCCTAAACCCAGCAGCTTCATAGTTCTCCCGTGCACATCTCATTTCCCGTTTCGCTGATCGGCGCCAAAGTGCCGCTCGTGCTTTGGCCAGGAGAACAAGGTTTGGATTCACCCTGAAGCCTTAGCCGATAGGGTTTCAGGGGGGGGCCCAAAGGACTTTAATGGCCTTCAAGCCTTAACCCTAAACCCTATATGACACATTTAGCAACTTGAAGCCTGAACCGGATGAGACGGGGAGAAATCCGGATTTCAGAGTCTATAGGATTTCAGAGTCTATAGGCTCTTGAAAACAAGCCGTAGGATCATGGGAGATCAGCCAGGCATCTCTTCGTAGTGCTGCCGCCGCATGGCGGCTGCCTGTGTGAATGTTCGGGGGCTCGCTGTCGCTTGGTTTATTTGGTGGATCATGGGACTTAGTAAGTAAGGTTATAAATACCCCAACTGCACGTATGAGTTATAGGCATAAGTTACCTTATCTACAACCCTAGCTGCGAAGTCCTGCGGTCCTTTAACCCTATAAACCCTAAGCTCTAACCTTAGCTACTAAGTCCCATGATCCTTGAAGTAAGGTTCAGTGTTGTGGGTTATATAATTATAAGGCATATATACCGTAAATCATAGTGGGATCCTACTATCATTTAATACTCCTGAATTAAGGGATTTTGGAAGGTCTGGGACCGCCCGGTTTTTGGGTCTTGCCCTAAACCATAAACCCCTAAACCTCCAAACCTAAATCCTCTAAACCCTAAACCCCTAAACCTCTAAACCAAAAACCTCTAAACCCTCAACCCCTAA